TTTCAGTGACTGATTATTTAGGAATAGACCTTTGTTTTAAGGTACCTCAGAATGGACTCGAACTTACACCTTGGTTAGCAGTTGAGTGTGTTAACTCTTTGTACCACTCAGTCACACTTTCCTATTCTGGTCCTACTTAATTGTAGTCTCAGGAAGGTAAAGACTGGTCATGTAAAACTATTCTCATAGTTTCTGATAATGACAGATAGAAATTGAACACTTCCTTATTTATTTGATATTCTCAACAAACTCATGAGAAGACAACTTTTATTATCCTAATTTAACAGTCAAGATTAGAAATTTTCCTTGGTAACACAGCTAGTTAGTAGTAGAACTTGAACATAGACCAGAGAGCCTGACACTAATTCCAAAACGACAAAGCCCTCAGCTATTGTGGATTGAATTGTAACCCCCAGAAATGGTATTTTAAATGCTAACATCTATGCCTGTGTGATAATCATAACAGTTTGTCTTTGCTATGTTACTGAGACAGGATTACTATAGTCTGATGCAGTCTTTTTCTGAAATAAAAAAGAGATTAATCAAGTGAGCAAAGCAGAGACCGGGGAAGAGAGATAGGGTGATATGGATGCTAAGACATATAAGATCTTCAAGAAACCAAAAAGCAGAAACTTAAAAGACGAGTACCTTCCTCGAGAGTTGACAGAGCAAGACTGAATTCAAACATCTAAACTCTGAGGAAGTAATTTCCTATGTGGTCAAGCCATCTCCTTGTATTTGTGTGGTAACAGTACTAGATAACTAAGAAAAATAAAATAAAAAAACAAAAACAAAAAACCCAAGCCCACTACCAGTGAGTCCATTCCAACTCACAGCGAACTGATATAGTGTTTCTGAGACTGTAATTCTTTATAGGAACAGAAAGCCTCGTCTTTCTCCTGTGAATCTGCTAGTGGGTTTGAACCACTGACCTTGTGGTTAGCAGTCTAGTACTTATCCTACAGCACCACCATGGTGCCTCACCTAATTTGTATCAAGTCTGTGAACCACCCAGTTCAGTGCTGTGAGTATAAGAATCATGAGAATGAAGAGAGGAAGAAAAAATTAAAACAAAACCTGAGAAAACCTGTTATTGAAATCATCTGTTGGTGTCATTTGGACAAGAATACTTTAACTTTCACATGGATGATTTCTGCTTTTTTTTTTTTTTGCTTTATTAAAATGTCACCACATAAACAAAAATAAAATACTTCTGAACAAAATTAACCTGTGGTAGTGAAGATAGTAACATATTGGTTTAGCAGCAGACTGGGTACTATCAGAGAATAGCGGTGAATTTGATAAGGGAAGCAGGTGTTCTGGGATGGTGGGAAAAAGAATCCTTCCAATTATGGCCATAGCACATCAAAACCACAGAAGTATGGAAATGCCAACACATCAAGACTAGATAGCTTTTGTGCCAACTGCTACCATAAATGGGCTTTTCTGCCTGAGTGAGAGCTTTGAACTGGTTCTTCCCAGTTCAGTCATGGCGAGTGAAATAAAACCAGTATAGACTGGAATTTGCAAAATGTGGATGCCTGGAATGATAAATAGAATGTGAAAATAACTGGTTGATGCTTGTTAGAAACTTAACCTTCCTCTTAGAAAACAATGGTAATATATGTGTAGTATAGCAATCAAATCTCTTGACTGGGAGTCAGAAACAGGGGTGCCATGCTCAAATATGACAGGTGAATGCATTGCTTTGAAAGTGTGCCACTATCCACAGTCTAGAAATAATAGTGTTAGACTTATACTGTAATGTCACAAGTTTCAGAACTAAGAAGGAGATCATCTGCCTTTCCTTTTCTATAAGGAGAGCATGAGGCTCAAGATACAAAAGGGCCTTAAAATCATATTGAGTTAGGAGCATAATTCAGGGCCTAATCTAGTAGTATTATTTAGGGTTCTCCAGTGAAACAGAGGGATGTTATTGCTGATGTCCAATGGATCTTGGCTGAAAGCAGAGAATATCAGAAAGACATTTACCTGACAAGCTATCATGACAACATTCTTATCAATGGAGAAAAGATTGAAGTTGTCAAGGATTTCATTCTTCTTGGATCAACTATCAATAGTCATGAAAGTAGCAGTCAAGAAATCAAACAATGTATTGCATTAGGGAAATCTGCTGCACAAGACCTTTTAAGAGTGTTGAAGAGCAAA